TGGCTAAAGACCCAGGCCAAGATGACACCTAAGTTGACTAGGTGGGCCGCAGAGATAGACCAATTTGACTTTGAGCTCAAGCCAGTGAAGGGCAAGTACAATGTAGTGGCGGATGCTCTAAGTAGGAGATCAGACTACTTTGGAGGCGTAGTACATTATCTGGATATAGGGAGAGACCTGCAGGAGAAAGTGAAACAAGCGTATACGCAGGATCCTATCTATAGCGACCTCCTAAAGAGAGTTAGAGAGACCCCAGAGACCGAACCAGATTACCGCACTACAGACGGGTTGCTGTTTGAGAAGACGTATGTGTTTGACCGCCTGTGCGTTCCCAACAGCGAAGAGATTCGTAGTCTGATTCTAGGGGAATATCACGATACTGAGGGACACTTTGGTTGGCAAAAGACGTTAGCCAATCTGATGCGTGCGTACACATGGCCAGGGATGAAGAACGACTGCATAGAGTATGTCCGCAGTTGTAAAGTGTGCCAGAGGAACAAATCTACTACATGCGCGCCCCTAGGTCTTCTCAGACCCTTGCCTATTCCGGATCAGCCGGGAGACTCGGTATCCATAGACTTCATGGACACGCAAGTCAAGAGTAGACATGGTAAGAGCCAAGTCATGGTCATAGTCGACCGTTTTAGTAAGTATGCAGTTTTTGTTCCCTTGCCTGCAGAGGCACCTACAGATTTAGTAATACAGAAGTTCTTTGACGTTTGGGTTAGTGAGAATGGAATCCCATTGTCAATAGTTAGTGATAGAGATAGTCGTTTCACCAGCCAGAACTGGCAAGAACTCATGAGAGTCTACGGATCTAAGTTGTGAATGTCGTCCGGCCGTCACCCAGAGACTAACGGTCAGAGAGAACAGATGAACAAGATCCTACAACAAGTTTTGCGCATGTACATTAGACCAGATCAGATTAACTGGGATGAGATGTTGCCTAAGGTAGCTAGTGCATACAACAACAGCGTGCATCTATCCACCTGCCGCACTCCCAATGAGTTGCACAAGTCCTTCAGACCGCGCAGACCGTTTGAAGGACTGAACCGGGATCAGACTCACAGATTACCGCGCGGTACCAGGGAGTTTGCGATACAGCACGAAAAGGAATTAGCCACTGTTGTTGAGAACCTCTGGAAGGCCCAGCACAGAATGATAGAGCAGGCTAACAAGCACCGTCGTTCATCACAGTTTCAAGTAGGCGACTTAGTCTGGGTCAGGGCAAAAGAGTTTGCACCGGAAGAAAACATCTCGCAGAAATTACTGCCTGCATATAGAGGACCGTGGCCGGTTCTAGAAGTCAAGGGCGGAGAGGATGGACCGTCCTACAGCATTGAGATTCCAGCTCACCTCCACACATACCCTGTGTTTCATGCTTCAAAGCTGCTGCCGTGTGTCACTAGTCAACAGTTCCCTTCCAGGAGATCCATGATCCCACCGGATATGGATGGGAGCTATGACATAGAGGGCATCGTAGAAGAGGATGTGTCAGGACAGGAGGTATAGGTCGTCCCCAGAAACAGTATAAAGTCCGGTTTGCCTATCAGGAACCGGAAGACGACCGCTGGTTCACGAAAGCAGAACTTCTAGAGACTGCTCCCGACATAGTCAGAGCCTATGAGCGTGACAAGAAAGGTAAA